CACTTTTCCCGTATTTTCAAGCAGTTTTTTGAGACATTGACCTTTCTACGGATTTTTTTCGTATAAAAAGTGACATTGAAAAAAAACGGGCTCTCACAGTGTCTGCAGTTTTTGACGCTCTTTCAAACACAAAAAAGAAATCTATAAGTTCGATGAAGTTCCACAGAGAAATCTTGAAAATAAAAAGTGCTATTTTTGACCATTTTTTGGCCATTATCTCGCTGATGCGTCGTAGGATCGGGCTGAAAATTTAATCATAGCGTATCTATCATAGCCCCAACATATCCTGAAAATTTCATGCGATTCTTACGAGCCGGGGCTGAGATCGATTTTTGAGGGGGGGGAGGCCTTAAGAATTGCTTAGACTTGTAGAACATCTCATTTTGTAGACAAATGTTTGTTCTACGCATTTGTACGAAGGGTTGAAAAAGAGAAGCGATTTTAACGAATTACTGAAAAGACACGAACAGTTATATAACTGGTGATCAGTTATCTCGAATGCTTTTATTACAATTAACTTTAGACTTTTTTTGTTTCAACAAATATGTAGAACAAACATTTGTCTACAAAATGAGATGTTCCGCAAGTTTGAGCGATTCTCAGTAACCGCGTGTCAACAATTTTCCTGGATGCTCTAATATCAGTTATATAACTGATGCATGTCTACATGGTATCATGTCTTTTATGCAAAAAGGAATTCGACGACTAGAGACCTGTTCTCGTTACTTAGAAAAGAAGATGTCTGTATGATTATCTCCGTCAACACAGTAACATTCGAGCTCCTGTATTTCACATATTTCACGAAAAATATCCTATAATGATCCTTATTGAATGTATGTTCTCGAGTAATAATATATAGTGCAAAAGGTTAGTGAAAGACTATATTAACAAGAAGAACGAATTGTGAACTTTCTAGTCGACTTGGAAACTTGACGAGAATAGTAAGCAGAAGAGTGCGTACAGAAATTATATATACATTCATGTATTGTTACATAACTAATGTTGTTCGAGCAGTTTATGAATGCTATATTACTTAGAGATTAATTACTTTTATAAACTATCTTATATGCGAAACAACAATGAATTTATGGTTGAAGCATGTATTTGTAATCTCATTATCCCAGATGAGAAAATATGAAAGCGTTCGTATAAATGCATGATAGAATGTATCGCACATCATATACTCTCAACTTTACATGCAAGATAGAATTACTATTATGGTAAACTGATATCAACTTGAAAAGTTTTGAAATTCGGAATAATGATAGCGGTTTCCTGTAACATTTATGTAAATATAGTATTTATAAGAAATACAAGTTTTTGGAATATATCTGGGATGACAGAAGTCTGCTATGCCTCTAGTGAACAGAATTCTTCTTGTAAATCAGACAAAAATAGCCAGTTGAGACAATGACATATATGAGCATGTACATGTACTGATTTACTGCATCTCTTTCCCAATATCCTAACTAGTTAAAATTGACTTTTTATTTAGCAATGCTAAGTGTTGCAAAGAATTCTTTCCGATACTGAATCGTAGAACTATAACTTTTTTTGTTCGAAAGAGAAAAGAAACTGCGTCGACTAGTATAAGTAGATTGAATTAGGCTGAGGTTTTTCTCAAAAATTCAAGTTTTCTGAAAGCCTTCCGTAGTTTTCCATCATACTGTATCTTAAGGCATCTTAAGGCATCGTAAGGCATGATCGTTCACGTAGCTAACGTTCATTAATTCTTAACGAAAAAGTTTGATGATTACGTTTCTAGATCGATGTTAACGTGAAGCAATGCTACTGTTTCAAATACATTCATTGCACGATTATATAAACGATAGAGTTTATTCGGTATAAACAAAATAAACTGTTACCACCAGATGGATATCTCCCACTTTGTAGTTAACGGTCACCGATCCATCCGTTGTTTTATCCCAGAGACACCGTGATGCACAAATAAGGCCTTGTTTTGAAATATCTTGTCCACCTGTGATTATTACCACTAATTTATATCTCGAATAAGTCACATCTCGAATGCATTTTTTCAATTGTACAGTTAAATCTTTAATTAATTCTAAACATAAATTTGGATCATATTGAATAGTTTGTGGAACAAGCTTTAGTTCACTATTAATTATTTTTCGCACACGAATTGTATCAAATTTTTTATTTCTCTCTGGTACAAGACAATAGGATTGATCATTTTTTATTCTTGAGGGTGCATCATATTGTTGATAACTTGGTTGACGACGCCTTACTGGCACAGTTAACAATTGTTGTTGCTGTTGATCCCCGAATGTATTATCATAAATCGATCGTGATATACGTCTTGATGATTGAAAAGTTGGATTTGTTGTTAAACGTTTTGTTAAGTCAAAAGGATAGGTAGACGACATTTTATTATTTAAGCGATGTATGCTTCAACAAGGTTCAAGTACTTCATTATGAAATAAGATATGACCAGAGGAAAAAATCATATTTTTTTCTTCTTTGTTGTCGTTCTTTAACAGTAATAGTACACGGTTATATCTCATATTACTTCTATCGTTCTTTCAGAGTGAACAATCTAAGAGAGTGCGTTTTTTAACATTCTGATTTATCTCTACTATATATATATATATATGCATTTTCTCGTTCCATTCATTCATCCGTTGTGCTGTTGTTAAGTAAGAATTTTTCAATCTTCGGTTACACACAGTAGAGAAAAAAAAAGAAGAAAAAGCAGAAACGATATGTAAAATGTTTGAATTTAAAAAACTTAAGACGAGTAGTGGTGATAGTATACACACACAGAAATATAAAAAAGAGAGAGAAAGAAAGAAAACACAATAGGTAGTAAACGGCTACAAGTTATTTCAGAACAAGTAATATTTTACTGTGTTTCTCATTGCACTGGGAAACAACTAAACTAAGGATAGACCAATCTGAGTCCGGACAGGAATATGTCTAAATTGACTCGAACGAAGACTTATCATACTATATGCATTCTAAGAATTCTTAAAGCTGACACTGTGCCTAACGCAACCTGCCAGGTTTGCCTGCAAGTACATATCTCAAGCAATCCTTCTAGAGGTGCTCGAGGAGCGAAGAGTAAACGTCTATTTTTAGACTAAAGAGAGTGTCTAAAGTACTAAATTAGATTTTTGTTTACCGTTTGATTTGCCTGGATACTTAAGTTTCTATAGAAAGAATGCTAAATCTATCTGTTGATGTAATTAATGTAAATAGAAGTTTATAACGTCGTCAGATTCACATGTCGATCATAATCTTTTGGCATCGGATGAAAACAATCTAATTTATCAGGTTACTCAATATTAAATTGCTCTAATTTCATGTTTTAGAAAGATGACTTGATTGCACTCATAGATATCATACGATATATAGATCAGTGATCGACGAATTAACAACTGGTATTTCACTCGATTCAAGCAAGTATCATCCTCACCAACAAACATTAAAATGTCGAGAGAAAATTCATCATCAACTAGTACGGCAATAACGATTGATTGGAAAGGAAAATGTGAACAATTAGAATTTGAACATCAATTAGAAATTGAACGTATTCGTACACATTATGAACATGAGTTGAAAGATAAAATTACAGGTTTGTTTAGACGCATTAGACGTATATAGATCTACAATATCATGGTTGGTTTTTTTTGCTGTAGATATCAGCTCTCAACTGAAACATGAATATGATTATCGTTTAAATGAATTAAGTCGACATTATGAACAACAACAACAGCAACAACAACAACAACAGAACTTGATTTTAAATAGTACATTGCCATATGACAATACTATCGATGAACAAATTAGTGAACAATTGCGTATAGCTCAACAATACGAAAATGACGAACAAAAAATAATTAATAATTTTTATCTTCTTCAACAACAGCAATTGACCGACGAAAATGATAATATTGATATTGAAAATTTAAAACATTTAGTTAGTAAATTGCATACGGAAGGTACGTATTTATACGAGTAATTATCGTATTCTATATTGAAATATCTTTTTTATTCAATTTAGGCGTTCAAGTATTGACATTGAGTGAATTATTATTATTACAATTAAATGGTGTCCATTTCCCAGAATCGATAAAACAATTATACGACGAAAATAATTCATTAAGAGAGTTGATTAGCAATTTCAATATTAATAATATTAGTGCAGTTGAAAATGATAATTGGCGATCAACATTAATTCGTTGTTTAGTTGATATTTTCTCCAATGAACAACAATATCGATTAAATAATCTATCTATGAATAATAGTGATAATGAGAAATCAAAACAATTAGAACAAGAAATCCATCATATGTGTAATTATCAAAAAGATGCTCTTGATAAATTATTTAGTCAAGAACGTCTATCACTTATTAAAGAATTGAATGATACTAAACAACAATTATTCTATATACGAGAACAATTTAAACTAATACAACAAAATTTAAGACATGATCTACGGTTTAATGATCAAAATAAACGTTTGATATTGTCAACATCGTATGATGATGATATTAATTCATTTATTTATGATAAAAAAATACCGTATGAATATCAAAAACGTATACTAAAACTTTATTTTAAATATTTAAAAGCGGAAAGTTATCGTAAAGCACTCATCTATCAGAAACGTTATCTAATAATTTTATTATCGGGTTATGAAGATACCGAAAAATATGCACTAAATGAAATTCTACGTTTAAAACAAAATTTAACAATTCCAACATCTTCGGCATTAAGATATGGAAAATATCAACAACAGACAAAATCTTATTCGAGGAAAACAAATAATCTTTTATTTCTATTTCGATCGCGTGTAAGAGCTGTTATTGCTATCATACGAATGAAGTATCTTCTTAACAAATGGAGACAAAGATTAGCCTTATGTTAATACATTCGGAGTTATTTTTTGAATATCTTGTGAAACTCCAACATCATCGTATTATACTAATAGGAAGAAGTGAAAGTTTTGCGTGAAAACATGCACCCTCTATTCCACCTGTTTTTACGAGCAGATAATTGAGTCTTCCATGGAAAAAGTACACAGTATCGTGTTGTAAATTTTCCTCGGTTACAGATGTTGTAGTTTGTTAAAGAACGATTTCGTTTCCATTCTTGTATTAATTAGAATATACGATTATTAGCATGTTGTACGTCACATATAATACACATAATAGAAATTGCTGTTGTAGATAGTATACATCAAAGTTTCACGTTTACACCCGAAGAATCTGGTTTATATACACATTATTCACTGATTTGAGTCGTCACACATATCACATTGCTCACAACACAAGGGTACTAATGAATAGACACAAACCTTTTTATTTGCGTTTAATTCATTTTAGGCCTTTTTGAATAATTGAACGTTTGTAACAAGGAACATTATCTTTTTGTATGACTGTAATGATAATAAAAAACTCAAACATTTTTATTTACTAAGTTAGAAATTTTATTCGATTCTCATTTAACATCCAAACAACGGAAAACTAATGTACATTAGTTGTGTTTCATATACATTATTATGTCGAGAGACATTATATGTTTTTGCTAGGCATTTGTGCCTTTTTGGATGATCATCGTTTTTACGAAATGTGCACGACATGATCTAGAAAATGACGCTATGTAGAAAAGCTGTGAGAACGATAGGTGGCTCTCTGAGTACCGAAGAATGACCATTGTGTGTTCTTTTTCCAAAATTTGCTTTGGATCCGGCGCCACAGGATTCGAAAAGTGAAAGAAAATTGACTTAAAAATTTTTCATATATTCATTAACAATTTGTTGTCCGGCACCATTTGTTCTTGAGAGGAACTATAATTCTCTCTCTCTCTCTCTCTCTCTCTTCCTTTTTCTTCTGTTCTTCAAGTCTATGTGGTTGATATTAAAAAAATGAGTCATTGTTATTCCTAACCTTTACGTGCACTGAGGTGGTAAACAATTATGGAGTAATAAGCAAACTGATGGAAACGTCCGTAGTTAATTCTTCTACTAGTGTTTGCACTAAATTTTACACGAATTCTTATTGAAGAATGTCAGTTTCTTGATGAAAGTAAATCATGCATAGTTATCAGGTTAGGGACTCACTTATCTTATCTGGTATAAGAAAGAGGATTAATACGAGCGAAATTTTGGCAAGAACCTGAATAGACAGAAGATCAGCTGAAGATTCATTTTTGAGCAAACACGGAGGCGGGAGCTGTGTCAAAGTCTAAAGTATATATAAAAGGCCTTGTCTTATAAAAAATTCTGGGGTTTGTTGTAGATGAGAAATATATGGACGTTGCCATAGGCACACAGTGGGCATCCAGTAGAACATTTAGCCAAAAATGAAAAGTACACTTTTCCAAAATTCAAATAGTGTCATGTATGGTTCAGCTGACAAGTGAATGATGTAAAAATTTTTACTCCAAATGCACACTCATTTTCGGAAAACCATAATCTCCAAAAAATGCCTCAAAAGTAGCGATCTCTGAGAAAAACAGCTTTTTCTAGTAGACTAACTGGTCTAACGTTTAAAAACTTTACATCTTCTGAATCTACACATCCTCCTTTACAAAACTGGAGAAAATGTATCGTCCCTACGCCTGTTAAATCAGAGAGAAAAAATTCGACTTCCAGACTAAGTCTCTTTCGTAAGAGATTGTCATCTAATAATGATTTTTCCCCCTTCTCCTCCAATCTGACTCAAAACTACACAAAAATGTTCGCCGTCACATCCTCTATTTATTCACAATGTACAAAAATGCAAATATTTATCTAACAAGAGATACAGATTTTGCAATGTAGAATCCTTTTTTTTAAGCCCAGAATCGTTTGTATAGTAATGCGATATTCGAAATCAGCTCGCAAAACTGTATCGAATGATGTATAATTAATTGGTTTTACAAATCAAATATTTTTGGACGAAAATTCAGGGGAAGGGTTTCCCTAAGAGAATTTTTATCAGAAAAAAACTTTTTTTAAAATTCCACTTTTTTTACGTGTATTAATATCTGACACATAATAAGACTATATTATGCGAAAATAATCATTTTTTAACTCAAAAAAGCAGATGTCCGCCTGCTCTATGACAAAATGCCCACTGTGAAGCACATACAAACCTATAGGGTATATACGATTGAAGACAAAATATGAAATTTGAATTCTAATACAAAGCTATTGAAAAATCGTAAGACAATTTTGTTTTTATGCAGGACATACCTTTGGCTGATGCAATTTTGCATAGTCGATAGTGATATTGGTTATTATATCATATAAGACTTGCCTTGGAATAAGGATGACCGTCAGTATGTATAAAATGAAGCGTTAATCTTGTCATCAACAAATCGTAATAATTCTTTTGAATTCCACACATTACACAGATTTGATTCATTTCGATTATGGGGTAACAATATCCGTGTAAATCGAGAAGTGCATAAGATCCCAAATCAGAATGATGTTCGATAAATGCTGAAATAAAATGTGGTACAAATATCATATTCTTATCGACAATAAATAGTAAAATCATTGTTCATCAAACTAAATAGACTACGACGAATAACATAATAATAATTTTCAATAGAATGATTAAGTTTAATTGAAAATTAGAGCATATACTTTTACCTTCAGCTTGTCGATCATAATTATTGTTCCAAATCATTATCTCAATATTTCTATCAAAATCTTGTTTATTCAAAAGAGCATCCAAAATAATGTTACTGATACATTTTTATGTATACAGAAAAATTGTATGAATCAAAAGTAGAATGACTCTATGAACAACTCAAATATATCACACTTGAATTATGAAACAATTATGTATGGTATATTCACTAAGTGTGGTATTCCTATTCATTATACGAAAAAATAGTAAAATCTTAAATCAATAGAATTTTTTATTTTGATGTGGCGGTTGACGAGTTAAAAATTGTCACTCAAGCATGATGTTTTCATAGATGAAGCATGGTGAAGCTCTACTGTTAGAAGTGGATTTTTAACGATGATATCTTGCTTCATTTACGTCTTTTTATACTTCAAATGTCGAAACTTTTTTTAGTGAATTTTGTTCTCTATTATTCATATATATTTCAAAATTTTTTTGAAAAAATTTTAGTAGATATTTCGTGTTTAGATCGGATTCAAAGAGTCATGTCTTTTGTGATTACATTGTATCGATTGTGTTTCTCTATCCCTCGATAATAATGGGGTATATCTCTCTTTCGGTGGTAAGGGAAAAAATTAAAATGTCTCTGTTTCAAATAAAATAGCTTCTAACAATGAGCCATATTCACATCTTGATGATGGCGCTATATGTTGGCCGTCAAACGACTTGAAAATTGATGGTATAGGAGATATATGTGATATGCAGCATATGCGTTCTGTTTTTCTCTCTATCATAAGAAATAGATTTTTTTTCTATCGTCATTCACAGAATACAGAATATATATATATATAGAGCTATATATACGCGTCACATCATCAGGATGTTAATATGAGCCATTGACTCTCTGTTCTCACACTCTTTTTAGAAAAATTGACTCGGTATCTTATATGTTTTATGATAAAAACATGATTCTTGCGTAGAACGGCAGAGAAAAGTTTGGAGATCAACCAAAACAAAAAGAACAATAAATATATTTTTTTCTGGTCCTTCTGAAAAATAGTTAATAAGTGCTAATCAATGCTAATTATTCTGAAGAACTTTATATGTGAATATAATTGTATATGAAGTCAAGACAATGATATCTTTTTTTCATTTCTTACATAATGGTGCCATTACATGTGATCTTTCTATAGCTGTGCAGGTGTGAGCATACAATAAGAGAGCACTTCTGTATCTGGGCCAGGAGCACTTTTTTTAAATTCTTTTGTTTGATATGTAACCTTGTAATAATAATACAATGAAATATTTGTATTTTTTTTAAAATAAATGCGGCGTTTTACCTCACATAGACATATAGAATAGCCTAATATGTTGTCCATAACATTTTGTGTAAAACGAGATACTTCTTCGCTTTTTGCGTTACTGTCATTCATTACTTCTAAGAAAAATAACATCTTGAAAATTCACTTATTTTCTACGGGAAAAAGGGCAGCCTTGAACAAGATTTTGCACAATAGAAGCATTTTCGAAGAAACGTGTAGAACAAAAACTGTTCATCATCAAATTTTATATGGAATGAGCGAGGAAATTTTCGAAATTCTTAAAACTTGAGTTTTAAATTCAAAAATACTTTTTTTAAAAATTTAATTTAAAAATCGAGATTTCAAAAATTCTCCCTCTCATCCCATGTAGAATTTGATGCTGAGCAACTTTTGTTCTCACACTTTTCTTCCGAAATGTTTCTATTATGTAAAATCTTAATCAAGGCTTTCTTAAAAATACTTTATGCACCAAAAATGGATCCGGCGAGTCAAACCTAATTTTCCCGTCAGACTTGACTCCAAAAAGATGAAAATATTTTTATGGATACATCTCGGCATGCTCTATCGAATGGCAACAGATTCAGGATTTTTTGTTGAAAAATTAAAATTTTATTAAAATTTTAAAAATGGAGTAAGAAACCGAGACTAAACTAAAAACTTTTTTTCTCAAAAATTACACGTCCAGTAATCGAAATATTCTTTACAAAATAGTAGAAAAAGTCGAGTGGGTAGACCTACTCTAAACCTACACTCTAAAAAAAAGAGGATATCTTCAGAAAACTGAAATTGAGTTTTTCATTTTTTTAGATCCCTATTTGGGACATTTATTTTCCAGAAAACATTATATCGAAAAACACATTTCTGATCTTTGACTTGTTCAAAAATCTGGATCTTAAATTTTTCTTTTCAGCAGTCAACTTTTTTTAATCAATAAGATATCTGTGATCATATGTAGAATTATTCTTTTATTTAGTATAGATATTGTCAACTGGAAACTTGTACAAGTAGAGAAAACTATGTAACTCACATCCTAATTCAACCGTCATTTGGAACTCATTTGACTCGAGTCAAAATCAGATTCCAAACATTGTAGGTACTCGACTGATTGGATTCGAGTCGAATTTTAGAACTCTATTGTTCTGTTCTCGAAGTGTACACATTATTGTACATAAATAGAACTTTTTGAGAATAAGTTTAAGATTCTATAAGAAAAGATCATGTTCTTTATATATATTAGAAATCGCACAACAAAAGCGGTGATTGAAATATGTGATTTTCTTTTCCTTCAACTTCGAGATCTTCAGATAACTTAAAAGAAATATTATGTTTTCCAAATCTTGAAAAACAAACTTTCTGAAAAACTGAAATGAGTGAAAAACTTCTTTTTTTTTTATTGAAAAATAGAAATTAAGTTCTTTATATTTCAAGGAACTTAAATGAGATCTTCAACTCGTTCTCTGAAAACACGAAGAACGGGTTTTTTTTAGAGTATGCTCGAGTAAGGTGAGATTTTTTTCTCCAATTGTTCCCATATCAAATAGGTTCAAAATACTTTTTTGTATATTTTCAAGTGTACTCTTGGGTGACTATCGTTTAGAACAAAGTCATTGTCCTAGAGACGTTTTTCCGAATCTTGATGAAAAATAGCCAAATTTCATTTTTTCTTTGTCTTCATCAGTGAAAATCGACTATACCTGTTTTTTTATGCACGTATACAATAGAATAATCCTTTGTCTTCATACTGAAAATTCCGAGCTGGGGACTTTAGATTGACAAAATTAGAGATGAATTTACCTGAGAACTCTAAACTGTGAACTTAAAATAGTAGGTTTTTTCGCCTAACCTAAGAAAAGAAAAAGCTTTTCTATGGCAGAGATTTAACAGCGAAAAAAATTCTAATTATAGCTGAAAGATAGAACATTTCATGGTCTACAAAATAGCTAATTAACTTTTTACTTCTTATAAGCGATCAGCGAATAAAAGTGTTTTTAAGTTTAAGAAATGTGTCATGTAGGAGCTCTTTAAAACTTTTTTCTATAATCTCTTATTGTTACATTTCTTACACAAATTTTTCACAGATACTTGTAGAGAATTAAATGTCGGATTTTTCGAAAAAAACTTAATTCTAGTAAGTGGAAAAAAGAGACGAGAAAAATGACAAGTACTGAATGGCTCATTTCTTCTGTGTCAACCGTTAGAGATGCAAATATTAAATAAACGATTTTGTTGACCCTACTAAATCTATGACACGTGTTGATACTTGTATCCTGCAAAGATAGGCAAAAAATGATCACAGTACAATTTATTAACTATACAGTGCTGTGCAAACTTATAGAAACGATTTGTTTTTGATTTTTTCTTCTCGTCCATAAGTTAAAATTTCTGAAATTAGAATCTATAGAAAATCGAGTCCCAAGATTCGATCGAAAACTGTTTGTAAATTACTCTATCGAATAGAATAGACATTTTTCTATAACAGACATATTTCTGCTCATTTTGCTTATTTTGCCGAGGGAGAACCTTTCATAAATTGAATGCAGACTGATGAAAAAGTGTCTTGAAGAGCTCAGGGACATCTCATTTTGTCGAAAAATGTCTGTTCTACCTGACTAAATTCTTTCAGTTATTTAAATCTTTTTTCAGATTTATTTTAGCAATTATTGGCAAGAAGAAAAACATCAAAAACAAAGTGTTTCTATAATTTTGCATATAATTCTAAATAAAAATGATGTTAACATGGGTACGATCATTTATATCTGATTTTTAACATGATTTGTCATATATATGAGTATAAAAAATAATGTTTCAGCATACAATTTATAATAATCAATATTACGAACGGCAATCATTATTCTATATATCGAACTCCTTTCAAAGGTTCTATAAATAAGTCCAATTGATGAATAAGTAGTCAAGAAAAAAGTTATGCTTTTGAAATATTTTCTGTGGGTAAACACATATTAACAGAATATAATGAGTAGAAAACTTTTACACAGGAGTCTATTTTATACAGCGATAGAATATTTTTAAAAACAAAAGTTTATGTAATGAGTATTGAATTTGTAAATTATCATTTGTTTATTCTTCGTTTCTAAATTAAATTTTTCCTAAATTTTTAGACAAAAAAAAATACATCTCTCTCTCTCACTCTCTCTCTTGTACAGATGATAAAACACCATGAATTATGTCTAGATATAAAGGAAACTATTTCGGCTTCTGAATTTTGTTTTTGCCCGTTTTGAAAATTTCTTTGAGTTACTAAAAGCATCATCATATTAGAAAAGAAATAATTGATCCTGTCATTGTTTTGCTCAGTTCAAACTATAGAACTATAAGAATGACTAAAGAGCAGATAATTATTAAATAATTAACAATTTTTTTTTCTTTTTTTTATTCTTGACAACAAATATTTTTAAGTAAAAATTATTGTTTATATTTTTCACTCAACAAAAAAAAAAAAATGACTCGCGCGTCTGAATAAGAATTAAAGAAAAAAGTTGATATTCAGTTTCAAATAATGGAAAAAGATAGTAGTTATAAACTGAATCATTTTTAATATGGAAAAAGTAGATACTTTTTTTTTTCGTTTTCTCTTAAGTTTTGGAAAATGAATGAACCATGAAAAGAATTTAAAAGAAAATATTTTATTCATCTATATATTAAATGAATCTTACATATATTTTATTGTAAGATATTTATTTTATGCTGTGTTTAACTTATTAATATATTATTTATGTATGTCACAACAACAATCTTGTATAACACAAATATCAAGAAATTATTGTAGTTGTGCAACATGTACACAAATTCGTAATGAACAACCTCGTATTTATCGTTATTTAAATTATTTACGTACAATAATAACATGTAGCTGCTGTTGTCCACCAAATATCGATACTCATGTTTATCTTAATAGTGATAGTCAACGTTCAATACGTTTTCGAGATTCGGATGTTGATCATAAACATTGTTCTCGTCATGAAGTCATGGTTAAACCAGTAAGTGAAAAATTGAACGAACAATAACAATTGTGTGTGTATACAATAATCAAACTATTTTTAGATGAAAATAAAATTTTCAAAATCAAAATTACAAGAAATAAAATTACGTGTTAAAGAAGCAAATAGTCGATGGAAACGTATGTCATTAATACCACCAAATATAATTGAATTAATAATTCAAAATATAGCTTTTCTTCCATTATGTAATAAATGTCGTACACATATAACTACAACGTCTATTAATCTATGTGAAACATGTATAAAAAATATTACAGACTATCGATACGAATTGGAATTAATGAAAAATTCTTCAACATCTACAATGTCAGAAGAGATTGAACATAGTCCACTAACATCTTTATCAACATCCGTTATAGCATCAGAAAGTCGAATACCATTCAAAAAACGAAACGATATAACTATACAAATAGCACCGAGTAAACCAGTACAAATTCAAGAATTATTACAAATTATTGATTGGATAGAAAATCCTGTTGTTATCGATTCATCGTCTTTAATTCAATTAAAACCATTAGAACAACAGTTAACTTAATTTTTCAGAGAACTCTCTAAAATTTAAAGCGTTTATCGACTTGTCTACGTAACGGTCCACTTTTTGTAAATTCGTTACATTTTACCAACATTATAGCCCTGGAGCGATGGAAACTCATAAAGGACTGGAAAATGTCTTATTTTAAAGAGAAAACATTTTTCATTGAATTGATAATTAAACTAACGCTAATAGTTTATTCCATGTTTGTATAAAAACTTAAAGTTGAACGTTCTAATTGCATGATCTAACATCTATTTCAACAGTTTCATATCTATAATTTATTTGTTTAATTATCACTTTAAAGAAAAATGTTTGCTCTTTGAAATAAGACGCTTTCCGACTCTGTGTGAATTTTCATTGCCACATTATAGCAAGATCAATATGAAAAAAATGTAATGGACTTAAGATGTCACTTAAGATGACTAGAACGTGTAAAGTAGCTAAAGTAGAGTATATTCTGGAGTGTTTTCGAACTCGAACTTTATAATTCTGTATAAAAATAGTCTGAATTTACTAAAATAGGTTTTACTAGATTTGAAAAAATTTGAAACTTAACTTTTTAGGAAAACATGCGCTAAAGTCTTGACTTTTGAACAATAAAATACTCAGAGTTCTACCATTTTTCTATCAAATATTGTTCAAAAAGTATCTATGCGTCTTTTATCCTTCTCAGACATATTCATATATTGTCTTTATCATGATGTTTACTCAGTTCGTTTGTATATTTTTTATATAATGTTTTTACGTATCAAATTGTTAGAACAAAGATCTTTTTGTGCCCGGAATTAAGACAGATTTGTGCCCGTTTAAGATCTTTTGTACCCGGTCCGGATACAAGAAAATCTTTTTCCACTTTTGTACCCGGAGACAGATATGTGCCCGGATTTGATTGATTTGTACCCGGTTTATTTAATAGTAGAACTACAGATGAACATAAGTTATTCTGGCAAATATCGCTTCTGACATACGTTTATATGTTTATGTACAAGATGCATAAAGTACTATATAGTATTCACAGACCGGCAATGTCAATCAAGGATCTTCTTCGTAAATTCGATTGATATATCATGCACAAATAGAAAATTCTAAGTAATCATTGGATCATCCTGGTTGAAAGATAGTTCTATAACTGAATTCAAAAAGAAACTTTCAACTAAAACTTACTTTAAACCATGGCTCGGAAAGAGTGGAATTTTGTAGAAGAATTTTCTGATGAGAATGATATGAAATCATTTATAAAACAAAATAACGTTTCAATAAAACGGGCCAAAACAATAGCTCTTGGACGCGCATCAAAGCGCACCACTCGTACGGCGATGAAATTTTCAGTAAATATTCTTCAGGGCATGCTGGATCGACTCATACTAGCGCATTTATGCGCAAATGAGGTTTAATTGAGAACTAGGATTTCCAGAGGTTTTTTAGTTTTTTTCATCATAAAAATGCTTTGGCTAAAAAGTAAGGACATATTCGGAATCAGTGTAGAAAACTGCATCTAATGGTGTGCCTTTTAACCAGTTTCAACGAAAGTCTGCGCAAGTTTCCAAAAAGCGTTTTTCCAATATTTTCCTCTAAAGTTTGAGCTGAAGTTTTTTGGGGTAATCTGCCAGTGCTCAAAAATTGTGAAAATCCGTTTTCTCTAGGTTTTCGACCATGGTGAATCTAATGGTGGCATTTAAAACTTTTCATCATGGTTTTTCTGGGGGTTTTCAGAGTCCGGGTCTCTAGAAAATCCCTAAAAACCCGAACTTTTGAAAATTTTCTGGTCTCATAAGAAAGAGCATGTAAGAAAACATACCGAGGCTTTGTTTTTAGTCAAGTAAAACTGAGTTAAACCAAATGTCCACCTGCCTATGGAAAATTACCCACTGTGGGATATTGTAAAAATCAGTAGCAGCTGGATCAATCTCAAACACGTCGTGCTGTACAAAACGAATATACTAGTGATGTTCCAAGTACAAAAGTTTCAAGTTTGTTAAAGTATCATCTTTCACTATCAAGACCGAATGTTCGTTCGATTGATGATTTTCGTGTATGGTGTGAACAACATTCCTCACCATCTGACCAAGCAGTAATTCATATACCATTTGTATCGAAGTATTATATAAACTCATGTGACGATATTTTCATTTTTTTCACACCAAGAAAAGTACGAAATGCATTGTCTGATGTTTAGCTGTTCTACTTACATATTTTCTCTGTTTTTCCTATTTCTGCCACTACCTCAGTAAATCAATGGTGATAATAAGCTAAGATCTTTCTTATTATTATTCCTAATCTAATTAAAACCGGGTACAAATCACTCAAATCCGGGCACAAAAGTGTAAAAAGATTTCTTTGTACCCGGACCGGGCACAAAAAAAAATAAACGGGCTGTCTTAATTTCGGACACAAAAAAACTGTGCCAAATTGTTACATAAAAACGAATTTCTGTTAAAATAGTCCTTTTATATGTGCGCATTAAATTCACTTCTTTAATTCTGATAGTTTACAATATAATTAGCCACAAAAATATAGTTCAGTTTAAAAAACGAAATAATTTAAAATAAAACAAAGCTAAAGGGTAAAAACAATGTCAACTAACAATAATATGTTCAACACCGATATCATCCACTGTTTCATTAATCTGAAGTATTTTCATTAATTCACGTGTTCTCTCATTCTTAGATCGCAGTTTTTTCAAATGATTTTCTCGTCTTTGAGTATCATGCTCAAATTCATTATTCCATAAAATATCTTCATCAGTCATTTTTATCAGAATAGCACGATTCATTTGTTTTCCACCAAATAATTTTTGTTGTAAACAAATAACAGGCACTTCTTCCATCCCTGCTGGTTGAACAAGATCGGCAGTGGACAAAAAACCCGTACGAATTAATTTATTCCAATTCCATAAAGTAAATGTATTCCACGGACATGTTTCTCCACGTACGGGAACATTTTGATTTTGAGTTGTTATTAGATGACCATCTAACGATGCGCCAATACATAAACAAGATGAGAGATCCATGTATGTCAAAAGTTTCTTCACTTGAGTTGATGTACAACGAATTTCAGGCGATTGAATTAGTACGATTGTATCTGGTGAATTTTTGACTAGGCTACTAACACGATTCAAGAGAATATTAAGCGGAGAGGAGATACCATACCAGGGAGTAATCGGCACGATATCAACAGGAATTGCTCGAGTTCCCATTTGTTCATTATGAAAATGACTAAAATTTGTCAGATCTTTGCTAGCATTAACACCAATTAGAATATGAGACGAATAAGTTTCAGCTTGATTAATAAAATGATGTAATTGATCTAGATCTTTTTGAGCACTTCCCCAATACCTTGTCAAGGTAAATACACGATAATTCATCTAAATACAAATTTTTTGTTGATTGTCCAACTCGAGTTAACCATGTTAGATGTCAACGGGAGCAAACTTTTTTGGTCCCTATCCCATGCAGAAAAAAAAGTTTTGATCTTGGTCCCAGTCCCGTAGACTTGTAGCTTTAGCTGTTTTCACAAACATTTAAACTTTGAAGAAAGTGTATCAGCATGATAATGATTCAAACTAATCTGGAAAATAGCACTATTGCAATGAGATTGTCAATTGAAGACTTTTAGAATTTTGTGAGTTCTTTCTCGCAAAACTAGTGCCCAAAAGCTACAGAAACTAAGAAATTTTTGTGTCAAGGGATAAAACCTTTGTATCAATGGCAATGTATCTGCTGTGAGCCCAGCTTTAAAAGTATGGCTGGCTTTTTTTAAAATTTTGTTTCGTTGCTGAGAAAAAAAATTCATTTTTTCTAAATCAGCGAAGAAAAAGTCGAAATTCTGCTGGTAATTCTCAACTTTCTCGATCAGAACTCAACTTTTGAGCAATAAAAATATCATATTCAGAATCAAGATCAAAAACTGAGTCGACTAATGTGTATTTCGCATTTTTTAGCTGATTTTCACTTTTAGGTGAAAATCTCGGTAGTTCTTTTAAAGCTGGACTCACGGCGGATACACTACCATTGATACGAAGATTCCATCTCTTGATAAAAAAAACTAGACAGGTTTACAAAATCACTCACCCTTATTTTCCAATGGTCCATTCAAACAGACAGGGATTTACCTTCGAAAGGAACTTAATATCATCTTTTAATTTAGCTTTTAACGCTGAATAAGAAAAAAATAGTTTGAACCTTCCGACTATGAACCCAAATCGAAAAATCTAGCTTTTTCGAGTTTTCGACACAAAATGAAAGTTTCGAAAAATGAACAACTACATATTCGTGATCAGCTCAAAAAACTCTATCGAATTATGTATAATAAGTTCAAAAAAGAAAAAAACTGCTCCGTTTTTGTATTATTGTGCCTTACTTTCTAGGTATACAACAGCTACGGTTATCTGTAACTGTAAAAACTGCAGAACTGTTACACTGGTATAGTTAAAAACTATCACCGTTAAAACTGATACATTTGATAATCGAAACTGATCATAACTGTCAGAAAAAGTTTATACGTAAAAGCAAAGTTTCTCCTCTTTTCGAATCCGTAAATAAGAAAAGTTCCGTTTAAAATATTATGCCTTTGAATTTTCATTTTTCTTCAAATATATCAGTACTTCTTGTTTAACAATATTTTATATTCTTTCAAGAGTTTTCAACTGTATCTGTTTTACAGTTTACCAGTCGCAGTTAACTACTTTTTAACTGTAACTGATGTATATCTAAAGTACTACTTTCGTCAATGACGTTTGATCTGTAACAAAGACAGTATCTCTCAGCAGCACGCAAATCAATTGTGTACTCTCTAATAACATAGAAGAATGGTGAGATGGCTTCTAGGGTACACAATAAAAACAACGGTCTTTTTTCGTTTTCTATCCTATACAACGCGAAGATCTATAACGTTTGAATAAAATTTTCGATTGAATGTACGATTTAAATAGGATGACGTTTCAGTTCACTAGTATTCTCATCAACTTCAGATCTGATTAACTATTCAATCTTTAAATTTAATCGGATTTTTTTTTAGAATTGTCATAGGAGCACACAAAAAACCAGCGCAAACAGTGTAAACAAACATACAACACAAATAAAACAAAGATTAAGTTCAGAAAAAACAATAAATCATGCCAAATGAATAGAAAAGTAAAGAGCAGAACAAATAAAAGAAATAACAGTTTGCTAATTCATTTTAAACCTTTCGACGATAGCGTTATGTATACATCTACAAAAGAAAAACATGGTGAGATCTTTTTGTCAGTCTCATTTCATACAAAACAAACAAACAAAAAAAAAACAATATACTCCTTAATCTTTTTTTGTTTTTTTCTATTCTGAATATCAAACTTGAAAAACTATTAAATGGAATGGATAATAGAACAACAGATCGGTTTATATAAAAAATTCTTTAAAACATAGCAATATTTGTTGAAAGTTTTGTTCAATTATTGATAGATTTTTTTCTTATGTCGCTGTTGTTTCTTCGGTTGCTATTTTTGGTGGTGTTGATGTTCCACTTACACCAGATGCTGATGAATTTTTAATGTCTTTAGGTGATGCACGATCTGGCTGTTGTTGAGTTTTTTGTTCACTGGATGATGATGAAAATATTCGACTATTATCGCAATCTCGAGCCATATGACCCGTTTTTCCGCATGAATAACATTTAATATCAAATTCTGGACAATTGCGTGAATAATGACCGCGTCGATTACAACTAAAAATAAAGTAAACTGTAACTTTTCTTGTCAGTTTTAGGATGTATCTCAAATAGGCGAGAGTTCTATGTAATGAGGTAAAGTATTAATAAATGCTTATTCTGCTAAATGACAACTTACTTATAGCAAACATCTCTACTATTTCCTGATAGACGATTAATTCCACTTTCCGGACAACTAAAATATATAAATTTGAAGATATCCAGTTAAACCATCGTAATAATTACCGAAATAAACTTACTTAATACTTATATGGCCAATTCTGTTGCAATTATAACAAGTTCGATCATCATTATCCAACATAGCAACCGACGCGGCAGCAGAGCCCAATGATCCAACGGCGCCTCCTGAACTTTCCTTTGCATCACAGTCGCGTGCACTAGAATCAGTATTATAAAATTATCAGTCAGTTATTTTTGCTCAGCTAAACAATTACTCACAAATGCCCATATGCATTGCAGCGATAACATCGGCCACCGGTATCATTTTGATTATGACTATTATTTAAATTAGATGAATTTTTCAATGGTTCAGAGCATTCACTTCGGATATGACCTGAATCAAAGATAAAACGACAAAATTTTAGATAAAACTGCCTAATAACAACAACAAACCTAATTTTCCACAATTATAACAGGCACCAGGATCAATATCTCGGTCACAGTCTTTGGCTAAGTGACCAAATTCATTGCATTGCTAAAAGAAAATTATTCTCACATATACTTCACATAAAATACAAACGATTATATTAGTTTTAGAATACTTACATAGCATCGTTCTTCTGTTTCAAAGCAATCACGTGCCATATGACCAATTCGATTACATCGATAACAACGTGCACCACCCCCATAATTACCATTCATTCTTCCGCCACGATTATTACTATTCATATAACCTTGTTGTCTTGGATAGATATTGTTTGAACGCTTGTTACCATCATCTGCATGACCGCTGTAGTCGTCTTCACCATTATCATCATCTTGCGAACGCATACGACATTCTCTCGCAAAATGTCCAGGTCTTCCACAATTATAACACGGCATTTGACTTATCTCTAAACACCTACTTCTTACACACTTACACTCACTCTCTCTACTTCGTTGTTTTTTTCTCTTGTTGAAAACTAAAACAAAAAAATATGAATTGTCATTATTCATTTAAATATAAATTAAGCTTTTTTATTGATTGATGTATATATAGTAAACCGACACACTCGAGACATCTCAACTTTATAGATGCCTAAATTGACCAGCTAAAATAGGAGCAAAGAAGGTCGTAATTGTCAACTACGTTCAAACAAGGTTCCAAGTAAGGTAAAATGTAAACTACCTTAAGAGCATGACTTTAGCAACTGTACATTGACATTTCGTCTTTTCTTCCATCTAGTAAAATCAAGAGAAACTACAATTATTTGTGATTGAAATTTTATATTTCTGAATGCAGTAACAAACAAAAACATCATTTGGAGCAGTATAAACACATTTTCTTTACATGATTAAAATGAAAACAAGGAAAACACTTGACTACTTCTGTACATATATATACAATCATCATATGTTGAAATTATACTAACAAGTGAGTATTTATCAATTAAAGAAAAAAAAATTTAGATGAAAATATCAGACAATAAACACGTATTGCACGATGATAAGAAAATAAAGAAGAAAACTAACAAGAATAAATTAGATGAAAAGAGAAAAATAGAGATTATTTCAGTTGCATTTAAGGTGGTAAATGTGAATCGTTACTTGTTTGAGGTGATCTAAAAAGAAGTATAGAAAATGTTGGACAGTTAAGCAATTTTCTTCTCACATACGCGATATACAATTCACCATCGGATTTACAGCTTTCATTATCATCACTATCCATTGTTGATACTTCAGCACTTGAAATAATGACGAAAAAAATTAATGAAAGAACAAAAGATAGATGAATCTTGGAATAACTGTTCATACCTGTTTGCTTGAGTATTGCTCGCTGAGAAAGAAAATCGATTCTTTTGATAATTAATGAATGAACTAAACAACAAGAAAGTATATATAAGTGATAGATCAAGTACAAATAGCAAAGTCCATCAGTTACCTGTCAGGTGTTGCTTCGACAACAAATGCTGACGATGTAGATTTTACCGTATCATTCAATAATTCAGTGTTGTTGGCTTTATCAGGTATACTGTTTCCTCTCAACGATCGTGTTGTCGTATTTAAAGACGATACATTCGGTGAACAACCACCAGCACTTGTTGTCGTTAGCTGGGAAATACTATAATCCACTAAGAACAGAAGAATACACTTAACGTAAACAAACACCACGAAAATACAACAAAATTTTTTTCTGAAACTTCTTATCTTCTACTTACTTGCATTATCAATCTCATTATCATCTTCACTTGGCACTTTTTGTTTTATTTTTTCATCACAATGTTCATCCTCTAATTGTACATTATTATTTCCTTTCTCGTCGTTTTCAAATGACGATGTAGACATTTTTTTACTTAATTTTTGTCGTACATTTGCAATTTGCTTTTTTAAATTAACAACTCGTTTTGATCGACTATCTAAGTGAATACGAGAAGAGAAAAGCTAGATGAAATACAGTAAAACTTTCACCCATTTACCAATTGATTTATATTCTTTTAAACGTTGCAATAGAACGTCTAAACGTTCTTCAAAAATAACATTAAAATCACTGTTACTAGCATCATATGTATCTCAAATACCACAATGAATCAACAGTTTTTCGTTTAGTAACACCTCGAAATATTTACCATCAATTTCTTCTGCATTGTTATCTTTTTGCTCAAACGACGACGATGTTACATCATGGGAATCAGAGGTCGTACTTTCATACACTTTTCTTGCTTGTTTAAGTAACGATAAACCCTATAAATATAAATAAGCTGTAGGCTTTTTTGTTTACACTCATAAACATTTACTTTATCGCGTAATTTTGTTGCTGCTTTATAAAAAATAGTTTTTGCTTCATTGAAAAAATGGCAGTTTTTAATTATTAGACCAAAATCATTTTCAAATTCAGCAAAATTCTCGTATGCATTATATTCGATCTTTTTTCTCATAGTTGAAAAATTCATTGGATGAGTGATGAAACTATAATAACTTGGAACCTAAAATACAAAAATTATATCATTAGACTTGAAGTCTCAGACACTTTTTGTTATGATTAACCTCTTCTCGATCAACAGGTAATTCAAAATACTGATTTTCATCCAACTGTTGTAGTTCATCTAATACATGACTTAAAAACACACTAAATGGCCGTAATTGATAATTCAATACTTCTTTGTCGATTTTAACCTTGAAAAATAAAATAAACTCAATAACAATCATTTATTACTAAAACTGACTCACTTTACCAAATCACGCTTCAGTTTTTCCCTTTTCCGGATTAGTTCAACAAGCAAACGAGTCTTTTCTAAATCTTGTCTTAAACGACGCCACTGTTTTAACTGTTCTGCCAAATGTTGGTCATTTCCATCAGTATCCAAAATCAACTAGAAATAAATCATCTTCCTTTGTTTAGATAGAAATCCATCAAGCGAAAAAATCAAAAAAGTGTCAGAGCTACTTTTTTCTTTGTGGATCGTTGCGTTTGTAAACGCTTTAGTAAAGGTACACCACTTCTTGACATCCGTTTTAGTGTCCAATATGCTTGAATTCGTCTAATGAAATTGTCACGATCAGAAAATTTTACTTGTTCAAGAACTATTTGTAATCTAAATAGAAAAAAGAATGTATATCTCTGAAAGTCTCATTAAAAAAGTAAAAAACATACTTTTCTTTTGGTATAACAGCGACGGATATAGAACGATCTGATTTTCGCCGTTCAGCAAGTATTCGCCGTGCGTTTTTCATACGGATTGTTTGTATACGTCTCAACGCTTCCTCACTACTTTCATCTTCAAACATAAAATGTTTAAATGAAAGGGCTATTCATTTAACAACAGTTTATCATACAAACCTTTTTGTTTTTTTACTTTTGTTGTTGAATTAACTTGTTCTAATGGTGTATGCGCATGACAATAAACACGACGTTTAATTGGTGCTAAATTTTGTTTTTTATTTGTTCGCTTGTCAGATTTCTGTTGTGATTGATGTTCTTGCTCAAAATCACAATCATTTTCATCATTTTCTTCGATTTCCATAAATAATCCTGCTTGTTGTGCACAAGTGACATGAAATGCAGCATAACAGCTCGCACGAGAACACTGAATGCAAGCACCAACATTTTTCTCTTTACATATATAACACGTGAATTTCCAACGAGCTGTTGGAATGCAATTGATACCACAAATGGGTTCAAGAAAAACGATATTTAAAAAATGAACTTCTGGTATCCATATAGCACAAACAACATGTGCCCATTTTTCGCCATCATCAATTTGCTTAAATGCACCAAATCGATTCGGGCACAACACACACTGGACAGATTTTGATGGACTTAAAAAACATCGACGACATAGCCATTGCCCTAAGATAAAGAGAATACATTAGAATAGTCTAAATAAAAATTCTCGATGTAAAATATAAGACAACAATTTGCATAGTTCTCTCAACCAGAGAGAATAAGGTGCTTCATCGTAGTTTTCTTTAACTTAAATGAAGTGTTAGCGGAGTAAGTTGGAAAAGAAGTTGGACGACTTACCTTCCGGTACATATGGGACGCCGTAACATTCTTGATGCACAGCTAAATTGCACATATCACAAAATAATATTGCATTACAATTTGAACATTCACCATCAAGACATATACAACACAATGCATCTTCATCAATTGCCGGTCCGGATGAATGATCACCTTGACTTATTGCTTGAAAATGTGATTCTTTTTCTAAACGATCGATAATAAACTCAAATTCATCTTCGGTAATAGATCGATAGTTTCTTTTCGAACGTTCTTCATTCACTTGTTGTAACCAAACAATATCCTAAATAAACTGAATTGTTTATTCCAACGAATGATATTAACCATGATGTTGCATTACCATTTCATCCATTTCAAATTCAACTTTTTCATCAAGTTCATTTGGCAGAGGTTCGATATATCGAATGAACGCTGACGAACGTTCAAATGGTGCCTTATCTGAATAGTTTTCTTTGTCTTTCGGATTCTCTTCATTATCATTTTCTTTATATGTATCTAAGGTCTCTGTTTTGATCAACAATGGTAGTACATTATGTTTAGCTATTACTTCAATATCCTCATTAATCGAAATTTTAATTGAACGACCAATACATTCATTTAATTCTAACAGATGTGGCGGGGAAGTAGGAATGGCGCTAACGTTCAACGGAGATGGAAGAGAAGAAGATGACTCGTCTTTTGTTAAATGACTAGTTTTCGATGAGGGAGGACTTGTTGTGGTTTCACTCGCCGTTATACGGGCCACCTGTGTATTGCGACGAGTGCGCAACATCTGAAGTGAGAAAAAGTATAGTGAAATGGGTACACGTGCTATTAGAATGTTAGCTAGGACTCTCTATGGTTCCAACCATAGAACCATCCATTTAATCCTACTTGGTTTGACCCTGGTCGGAAAAGTCATGACCCGAAATGACCCTAGTTTGGCGTTTTTTCCCTCGAAAACGATGCTTAGTGGTCGTACTAGTAAAACTTATGGCTTTTTGAATGAGATCGATCCATACTTCGGTTAGCTCACTGATGTTTTTCTCACACTTGCTCAGTGCTTTAAAATTAAATTAACATAAACAACTCATGTTTTTCACGTTAACTAAAACTTTTGTTCTGAGCTTACATAACCAATAAAAATTCTAAGATCAATTAGGCAGCCAGTTACAAGTAGCTCTGGCGACAAGTTAACTAAATTATTTATACATTTACACAACAGAGGTCGCCTCAGAAATATAAATTCAAGGTTTTTGTCAATAAAATTTTTAGCAGTTTTCTCAATAATTATCTATCGAGTCAGTATTTATTCAACAGTGTTTCGAATTTTCAGAATCGATTATCGTATTGTTAAACAGTTTTTCCTTACTTATTTCAACAACAACAGACAATTGCGACCTCTTCAATTCCAGTAATTGAAAATAGCGCTTTTCTTCTTGTAGTCAATTTAATGAATTTTGAAGCGCAGGAAATAGAGATGACAATCAAGTATTTTGAGACGTCAGTAGAGGTTACCATGGCAAACGGTGACAATATGTCGACGAGAAAGCCATGTGCTGTGCTGTTCCTTGCGCTATATTAGAATTTTGTATGGCAGACCGTGTTACATTGCTAATATATTCTATTTCGTTGCTAATCTCTTAAAAGATTTCTTGTTATGAAAATATTTCAAAGAGGCTGTTAAAAACTCAAAAAAGTTGTCTAAATATGATGGAAAAAAGACAATATAAAACGAAGTTTTCAGGATGAAATAATGGATTGTTCAAGCTACCAAGGGGCATTTGAAACAGTTTTGCAACTTTTTGTTTTTATTAGAAGTGTAATATCTCGTTCTAGATGCCAGTACGGATGATTTTTTTTGGTGTTTACTATTACAATAGAGCTTGTGAAGCGTCAAGATAAGAAAAATGTCTACTGTACGAAATGTTAGTGCGGCAGGTTCAGAGTATTCTGGAAAACAGATTGATGCTTTGATAAAAATTCAACGAGCATGGAGACGCTACATTGTAAGCGATAAGTTTCTCTGAAAAGATATCTTGGTATACATCTCGCTATATATATGTCGCTTTAGGATACACAAGTGTTTCGCTTTTATCGTGATTTGATTAATTTCCATAACAATGGTGATCCAATATTCTTGATGAAAACAATCAATCCTATCGAAGCAAAATATGTTGATTCAGCAGCTGGTATCCGATTACGATTTCGATTAGCCGGTGTAAGTATGCTTCCTTTTCTACTTTAAAAATGATATGTTTCTTCTTGATCTAGGAACGTTTTCCGCCTACTATATATTACAAAGTATTCACAAATCGTCCGATACAGGATTTATGTTCAAATGCTCCACGAGATTACACAAAGCCCTATCTAAGATTAAAAAGTGCCACTGATTCGAACAATAATGTGAATCGTTTTCCTCTTGAAGGTACACAAAATTATTCTTAATAGTAAAAGTAATTATGATAGGAACTTTTTACCGCATCATCTTCTGGAAATTATGACATGGACGTGCGACATTTGGAAAGCCTCAACCCCAATATCGCTGGAGTTGCACTCGATCGTATCCAAATCCTCTCTTGTCTTAAATTAGCAATCGTGTTAGTTATAGGGGTGAGGGTAATGTGGGCGGGGTAGCAGACAACTGCACAATGGGTCTCCATCTATTGACTGGTAACAACAGTCATTGCTCTCATCACTTAAGGAATATTTACATTTATTGTTTTATTGTAAAATTTATAGGAGATAAATTGAAGTGATGAGAGTAATAAATTAAGGCTATGATCCCAAGGGTGCAAGCTAGTAGGTTTACCCACCGTCTTATGATCGCGTATAATGTCAATAATAAACATTGAACATCCATATACCGCCATATATCGCCAGTTACTAAAAGTTCATAAGCCATGAAAATGAGCGTATAGAGCGATGCGTGAACTTTACACTAGAGAGAATCAATGTTTACATGAACATGTCATTCAACAAATTTACACAAACTGTTTGTTGCATGGACGTTTTGTATTCACAATAAGCATCCAGCCATATCTGTTGAGTCTGACATTTTTAGTCCTACTGGAGTCTGTTTCAACAACAATTTTCTTTTTTAGATACAGAAGGTTGGTACAAACGTATTGAAAATAATGGGTGGCGGCCTGTCAGCTATAAACATTTGTTACAGTCAAATGCTGAAAATTATTATTGTTCACATGAGTATCAACAAAAACAAACATTCGCACATACGAAGGTGTAAGAACAACTGCATCTGTAAAATTGACCTCTCACATAATGTTGTTCTAAAATTACTATTTATTTCAAAATATAGCGCGAATGTTTCCTCTGGGTTCCAACGTCAGTTGAAAGTCCACAGTGTCTCACCCAAACTCAATTCCTGTATCTATCACTGTTCGTAGTGAGATAGGATTTCATAGAAGTTTCTGGGAGGTCATTGATCCCTCTGAACGTTGTAGTAACGTTTGCTTCGATAAGCTATTTCTGAGGTCGTAAATTTCAGGAATAACCTGAAATTTACGTTTTAATTTATATTTTAAGAAAAACTCATAAATCTCGTAAATCATTCAAAACCGATGCAAATGACACAAAAGCTACAGTATATACTTTGCACATATAAATAGCAGGAAAAGCACTAAAATTATCTTTTCTATCATGAAATCCACTTTACGGGAAATAATGACTTCACATTTTCAGTATTACTATTAAGTACAGTAGAAAAATCCAGGACTGCAGTTTTTATGTCACTTGGATCGATTTCAAATGTTTTATCAGATTTTCGTATTTATGTGAAAAATAATAATATAATCGTTTTATAGAAACAAACATTACTACAACGTTCAGAAGGATCAATGATCTCCTAGAAACTCCTAGGAAACCTTATCCCACTCCGAACAGTAATAGATAGAGGAGTCGAGACTAAGTGATGCTTTGAACTTTCAATTGATGTTGAGGAACGCATTGTATGTGTGAGACAGTTCCTGGAATGCCCTTATGTTAAGACCTAGACTAATAAGGTATATCATTTCTCTGATAGTTTTATGAATTTGTGGTTCTACGTCTTGTTTACAAAATTGTGAAAGTTGCTAAGTTCTACATATCTTCGTTGAAAAATTATTTGAAAAAAATAATAAACTATATTTTGAAAGCAATAATAATATTTTCTGTTCTGTTTAGCTTTTGAGGCGACAAGATGTTGAACGTCGACGAAAACGAAAGAAGTTGCAATGGTTACAAAAGATGTGAGAAATGAAAGATAATTATTATCAACAATGTTAGTTTATCTGTTTGTTTAGGTATTCAGCGGGTGTTCTCAATACTCATATGTCGAAAGATGGTGTAGAAGATGGTGAAATGACTCGTTTAATAAATGAAACAACAACAAGTATATTGAAAGTATTCAACTCATACGGTTCAGAAGCTGTTGAAGATTGGGAAGTGGATGAATTATTGGAATGGACACATAATTTAAATTTTGATGAGTATGATACAAATTGTTTTTCCGTTATAAACTAGATGTTAATTTGTATTAAATGTCTTATCTACTACTTCTAGTTATTTACTCGACTGGAGGACATTGGGTACCAGTGGATCATCTAACGTTATTTTTGGTAATGTCTACTCAAACTATTTTTTTATACATTTTATTGTCTATTTGATAATCTTTCTAGCCAATAATTATCATACGTATGAGAGAGATGTTGACGAACGTACAAACAGTAGTTTAACAGAATCAAGACATGTGTCAATACAAGCAACAGTGCCGACAATTGGAAGTGTTCGAGTTCCATTAGAAGAACCGAGTTTTGAACGTACAACAACAACAGCTTTATCACAACCAAATAGTGAATATCGAAATTTGTTAACATATTAAGTATGAGATTTATTTTTGCAATAGATGCTACAATTAACGTTTTTTATTATTATTTCTGAAATGGCCAGAATCTCGTATAATTCTTAATTCTGCTCGTGTAAAATATGTTTTTTAAATGTTTTTAGTCTTTCATAAAAGATATTGATTTTAACATAAATCATATTCGCCCAAAAATGTTTTTTTCAATTTTTTCACGATGACATAGAATACCAGTCGTATTTAATGACCTTTTTGAGCACAACTACACTCGATTTATACGATCCCAAATTAGATCTTTCTTTAGTTGTCAGCGTACTAAATACAGATGACGTATCTTGTATGTTTCATTTCGCTACAAAACAATCACACAGACTCTTAAAAAGATGTCATGTATAATTTATGTTAACAAAGATTGAAGAGATACTTGAAAGCTCAAGTTTTTATTTATTTTAAACTTTATCCTATTACGATCTTATTAATGTCTTATGTTTTATTTCCTTCATTTAGCGGTAATAAAGATAACGATTATATTCTTTAGTTTTTAATATTTGACGTTAAAGACTATAATCGTTGAACTATTTGTGTTTTATTTAGAACAAGGAGATTGCTAGTTCGTTTAAGTGTGAAAATCATATAATGTATGCTGCTTGTAATTATAAAAAGAGCCAAAGGCTTAAAATTCACTACAACACAGATTGAACACCGAAAAGTTTTCTGAGATGAAGAGAAAACTAAAGTCCTTCTTTCTATAATGTAATAAATAAACATCCACCTCACGTATAACACTCCATTTTGTAGCGGATAATTTTATCATCATTACTCCAAAAGCTTTTTTATCTAAAATGGCAACCAAACTCTAGCAGTTTACTAAAAATCAGATGGATTTTTAACGACAGTTCCTACACCATTCTGGATTTACGAGTCATTTTCAAAACCTGTCGCTCTCAGAATTCCTTTTTTAAACGTTCTCTAGTCTACGCTTTTTTTTGAGAGTTCATGAAATCCTAATCCTTTTTCGTTCTAAACAGTTATATTCTCCTATATCCTTTAAATGATTTAGGATAGGATTTGGGTATCATAGTTTCCTCACTGAAATATAAATAAAGAAGAACTAAAAAATGTAGATAATCTACAGTTCTCATTTAGTTAATTCGATCTGGTACACAAATTATGTTCTCTTTTGAGGGGAATGAAGTGTCAGTCAAAGAATTTCTGACAAAACATATTCTAGTGAGAAATAGATACTTTAGAAATCGCCTACGGTTTGACTAATAGGCGCTCTACGAGCGTACAACACTGGGGCTAGCGCACTAAAGTGTTGTGTTACAGGACGACGTTGCTGCTGGTAATAACAAACAAGAAAACAAAGGTTTCATCATGCTACTGAAGAAAAAATAAGGTAAAGTATAATGGAGGTGGAATCTCTGTCATCGATGATAGTTTTGCAGGGTGTTCTAACAGGATAGAGGAGGTGGCCATGTGTAACTGGTAATAGTACTGCTGAACGTTTCCAAATGCAACGTGTTTGATGTATTGTTTTTAAAAGGCATGATTATATAGTCTTGTTAACCCATGTACTATATTTACTTCGAACATGCTCAACCATGACCTTTTCATATTGTATTCTTTTCTTAGATATGACAAGTCTTTACACTCGTTAATCTCAATTTAACCGCTAATATATTTCAGATTATATTCATTTTTTAATTTCTACTATGCATCAACCAGCAATTCCTGAGGGCGATGAGGAAGGAGATGATTTCGGCCAACCCATGACAAATCGTTATGTTGCCCCTGCCCATGATTCTGCACTATCTCTTCAACCGAGAGAAGATGAAGGCATCGGACAAATACCAACGATCCAAAGTGAAATGACAGCTGCTGGCGGTGTTGGAATGACTACAAGTACACCACAACAAGCAGAATATAAAACAAATGAAGAAAAAGGCTTAATAATGCCAGACAGTCAGGATGATGCTATGATACCATCGTCTGAATCAGCACAAACTAATGATGTTGGAGAACAAGGAGAAGGTATATTGAAGGGCATACAAGAAGAAGAAGGTGGATTTGATGAAACGATGGTACCCGCTATTTTGGGAGATCAAAAAGACGAAGCATCCAATGTCCAGTCAGAGTTGACTCCGGATCTAGCAATGATAGGAGCAACGGCTGGCGTGCCAGCAGAAGATGCACCACCACAAGACTTCACAGAACCAGTGAGACAGGTTACTATTCATTTTGTTAAACTAGCTTCTTTCAACTTTTTCATTATAGGAAGTGACATCCGACGATGCTAGACACGTGACAATATCTAGCCGCGAAAGAGCATCAAGAAATGTTGTTCCGCAAGTGTAAGTTGAAATGTTTAAATAGTGTGGACTATACGATAAAGCTTGTAAATAATCTTGAATGAAGTATCAAAATCTGTATTTTTCTTTAGAGAATTTTTTGATTCAATGGAACCCGAAGAAGTGGAAGAAGAAAAAAAAGAAGAAAGTCGCAGTCCTAGAATAACCAGAGAAGAAATTGTTTCAAGATTTCAAGTATTTCAGAAATATTTGAGAATTTTTAAAATCGGAGATTATGTGCTTACACTTCGATTTTAGGCAGCTGAAATTGAACGTGATCGTTTACGTCATATCAATTTACAATTACAACAAAGACTGGCAGATTATCTGCATAAAAGAAAGGTACAATGGGCTTTAGTGAACGTCGTTTGTGAACATATGATTTATTTGTTTTGAAAGGGTACGGATGATTTACCAACCATAACGCAAGCGAATGAAAGATCATCGGCTGAACAACAACAACGTTATCAAAAACATTTAGGTAAGATTCAACAAATTTTCTTTCAGAATTTTACCTTTCGATCATAAAATCTGTTATATATTTATTCAGCTGAAATTGAAGCTTTACAAGTGAAACTAAAACGTGATCAAAACGAGTTTGAATCACGTCGATCAGAAATAGAAAGTCATATTGAAACAAAAAAAATCCGAATTGACCAGTTGAAAGCCGAATACGTCAGAATGGTTAAAGAAATTGCGTCAAAAGCTGTTTTCTCAAGAAGCGGGAAAACAATCAGTACTCAAGTAGGTGTTTAGCGTGATCTATGTTCTGATTCGTTTCCTTATAATATGAACTAGCTATCTCGATAGACTATTTAATTTTTCTTAAATGAATTATTGCTGATGTTTTCATGTATGTAGGATTGGCGAGATCCAAAGAGAAATTTTGACGTTGTGCGTATTTCTAGTATCCCTGTTATATACATTTCCATCTATCATATTATCTTATCCAAATGATTGCAGTGCATTTATTTATTGCTTTCATACTCCTACTAACCATAAAATTCTCTTAGGACCTATTCTTCGGCTTCATAACACTATTAAATGTGACTTCAATATTCGAACAATATTTACAGCATATTTTAAAAATCTTCATAAACTCATTCTATACGAAATGAAAATAGTTTATGCATGATAGAGCATTTGCTTGAAATAGAGTTGCATGTCGTAGTAGAATAAAAGCATGGACTTCTTTAGCATGAAGACAACAAGACAAGTATTATGTTGCGAATGTCAGTGTTGTATACGATATTTACATTACTATAGTTAGCATTATAAAAATCATTCAGTTTGAAAGAATATCTTACTGGGAGTATAAGTGAAATTTAAAAATTTTGAAGTAAACTGTATACTGTATTGTTACTAATGCAGCGATAATTTTAGGAAATTGAAGGATATTTGGCAGATCTTAAAGCAAAAGAAGAAGAACTAATTAAAGTAAGTTGCTTAAACTGTGTCACTAACTCGAGAAATTTGACACGTAGTTTCCGAAGTGAGAAAAGATAACTTATCTAGTTATCTACTTTGTCCTTCATGTTTTTCATCTATTTGACGTTTTCAGACACGTCATGAGAATATCCGTTTAAAAAATCAGTTAAGAAAACGTGACCTACAATTGAAATCCAAAGAAGAATTAGCCGAAGGGTTACATATGATCGATTTTGAACAACTAAAAATAGAAAATCAAACATATAGTGAAAAAATTGAAGAAAGAAACGAGGTAAGAAGTAGAAAGTATCGGATTTGTGTATTATTTTTGTTTGTCTCTAGGAATTGATGAAACTTCGTAAAAAAATTAGTACAACCGTTCAAATTCTAAGTCATATTAAAGAAAAATTAAGTTTTGTTAGTGAACAAAGAATACAAGCTGCGCAAATGTTAAGTGCAAAAGAGGATGAAGTTAAAAATGTGCGTCTCATTTTACTGGTTTTTGTCATACTATAAAATCTTATTATTTAGCAACGTGATGAATTGGCAAATACAAAGCGTAAACGTGATCGTTTGAGACAAGAGAATCATCAATTGAAACAGAATTCTGGTCTAGTTGGTAATGAAGCATTATTGAGAGACTATGAAGATCGATATGACGAGATCGAACGTGTTAGTGAACAATTGGAAAATTTAAAAAAACGTCACGCTGAAATAACTCTGATGTGTAAAGTATTAAAGAAAAAAATTTCCAAAGTTTAAATTGTTCTTTTACTTTCTAATGGGCGATTATTTATGAAAATATTTTCTTTCTATAAACTTTTTCCTCTTTTGAACTGTTCAAAATAAAGATTATTTTGTTCGAAAAAGCAAAAAAAAATCAGATCTTTTCGTTACAAGAAACTTTGAATCAGAAATGATTCTATTTTATCATCGTGACACGTAGTTTCCGAAGTGAGAAAAGATACCTTATCTAGTTATCTACTTTGTCCTTCATGTTTTTCATCTATTTGACGTTTTCAGACACGTCATGATTTTCATTTCCATTTATCATCGTGATAAGACGACTGAGTTTATTATGATTCTCTTAAATGGTTTATTGTGTTACAACGAGCTTGCTGCTGTTGTTCTTCTTGTTCTTTGTTGTTGTTGTTAACATTATAAGATTTAACAGATCTATGTAGCCATAAAACGTTCAAAAACGCAGTTTTGCGTGAATCTTGATAATCGATGTATAGTAATTCTCCTAGATGCCCCAACGCCAGTTTTTAGTTGCTGCATACCTAAGGTGGTACACTCAAAAGCTATATGCTCTCATTTTAGTCAATGTGGGTTAACACAAAAGCATAGACGAAAGTTGTTCAATAGCGACGTAAAAAGAGTGTGAAACACTGATTGCAAATATTGTAAAACCATATTGTAAACTTACTCTAATTTAAATAAAAATTGTTTCGAAAAATGATGACTTACTTATTTTTGCAAAATATTGTAGTGTAATATATTCACGATGATCACCTTTCCCCATATTCAACACTCTGAAAAAAAGCGTCTTTTGCTAAACCCCTTTTGGGTTTAGTAGCGGTTTAGTAAAATGCAATAACACGCTACCGAAGATCAAGTTGAGTAAGAGGTTTGTTCACTTTCAATGCTTCAGTCAGAGTTTTAACATGTAGAGTCTCATTTCAACTGGAAAGAAGAGTTTTAGTGTTTATATTTTATTAATTTGAAAGATGCTGGATAGCACAGAAAAATTCATATTTCTTTCACTGAAAAACATATTATCAGCCGAAGATCAAGTTCAGTAAGAGGTTTGTTCATTTTCAATGTTTCAGCCAGTGCTGTAGCTCCTATATCGGATATTTCGTTACTTCGAAGATTAAGTTGGGTGAGAGTGTGATTTCTTTCAAGCAGTTGGCGAGTATGATAGGATCTCGTTCCATTGTGTTCGCATGTTTGTGTTATCAGAGATGCAATGTCAATGACGACAGGTGTGTCATGCAAGGTAAATGTGACAGCATGTCTTTGACCAGGTGTTTTGTGTGAATTTTGTTCAATGATAAGGATTGAAGGTTGATCCATGTGTTCGCTGGGAACAGTGATTTCAAATATTGCAAAACCATATTGTTAACTTATTCCAATTTAAATAAAGACCGTTTTGTGCTGAAGCACCGATTTCAAATTCAGAAAATGGTACTAGTGCCACCTGATATGTTTCTGACAAAAAAACGTCATTTGTAACGAGTAAGGATTCTGACACAAACACCCACGCCCTTGCAAATAGGAAAATCAATAACTAACGAGGGAAGGTCCCCAACTGTCCGATCGCTTTCGAGCCGAAACCTAGTGGACTATAGGTAGTCAACCATGCTGATTCCGAATATCAACATGAGACGTGCTGCTAGGCCTCCAGAGAGTGGTTTTCTGGAAAACCAGTTTTTCAGAAACTCTAAAAAATAACCCAAACCTTTCTTAATGATGCATGATTGTAGTCCCAAAATTTCTGATTAAAATGAGACCTCTCCCAGCTCTACATGACCTTTCTTTGCAAAGTTATAGAATTTACAAGAAAAGCCCTAAATTAATTTCTT